GTGGTAGTAGTAGTTGGTGTTGTTGTTGTTGTTGTTGTTGTTGTTGTTGTTGTTGTTGTTGTTATTGTTCTTGTTCTTGTTCTTGTTCTTGTTCTTGTTATTGTTCGTGTTGTTGTTATTGTTATTGCTCTTGTTATTGTTCTTGTTCTTGTTCTTGTTCTTGTTCTTGTTCTTGTTGTTGTTGTTGTCGTTGTTGTTGTCGTTGTTGTTGTCGTCGTTGTTGTTGTTGCTGCTGTAGTTGTTGTCGTTGTTGCTGTTGCTGTTGCTGTTTCTGTTGCGCTGTTGTTGTTGTTGGTGGTGGTGGTGGTGGTGGTGGCGGCGGCGGTGGTGGTGGTGTGGTTGTGGTTGTGGCTGTTGTTGCTGTCGTCATCGTCATCGTCGTCGTCGTCGTCGTCGTCGTCGTCGTCATCCACCTGCTGTTCAACTCTGAACACCAGAACATAACTTGTTTAAACCCAAGCTGTACCAGCATACTGGCTTTTAACTTTTGTGGGGGCCGTTAGCTGTGGGACACTGGAGCTTGAAAGACTTCCAGGACGATGGGCAAAGACCTTGGCGCTGTGCTACGACTTGAACTTTTCCTTGGCTATACAGGCCCGGTTGATGTGGTTGTGTACATATCAGAGCATCCAGAACACTAGTCATTCACTACAGAAGGCTCGCGTTTATGGACGTTGCTGCAGAAGTTTGGGCAGGCTTGATTAGCCGCAACGGCGAGTTACTTCCAAGTTCTCAGCTTGCAGTCTTCCCGACCCTGAGAAACATCATCCCAGTGCCATTTCGGGTGCAGGTGTCGATCTTGAGCTTCCTTGCAAACTCCTGTCTCCTTCTTCTGTATGCCTCTCTGCGGCAATGGGGACATGCACTGGGCCGTTGCGGTTCAGGCCTCGAACATTTTTCTGTACAAAATGGAACGAAGCCGAAGTAGCCCTCAACCCGAAACTTTACTAAAACCTGGTCTAAACCCTAAACCCTAAACCCTAAGCCTTAACCCCTAAACCCTAAACCCTAAAAACCGTAAACCCTAAACCTTTAAACAAGCAGAGTCTCAGGCTGGTGGTTTCTCGATCGCCAGCATCGACGCGCTCGCAGGTATGGCTTCGGGTGAAAGACTGGGAAGTTTAGGGTTCAGGGCTTAGGGCACACATGGTTTCAAACATTGGAACGAAACAAACGACAGGCTTTAGCAATCTCGAAGTGATTCGTGTAATCAATCATGAGCCGTGTTACACGACAGATGATGCTTGTCGGGCTTTCTGGAAAGTACATGCACAGGAGCGTGACTCCCTGTGCTCAGGCAATCCATGGTTGCTGCCCTTGACCGTCGATGCTTTCAATATTTTGAACAGGGGATCCGGTTTAGGGATGTTTCGTCGCTGGGAGCTTCGGAGCTGTCGATTCCGGTGAGGTTCTTGGACTATTTTTGTGACCCGGCGGAACAACCAAGTCTTCGTATGCCAAGGACGTGCCAATGGCTGCTTTCTTCTTCGTGTTCGCCTACGGCCACTACTGCAAATGTTGGGCGAGACAGATACTATGGCTGGACAAGATTTGCATCTCACAGACTCTCTGCAGAAACAGCACATGCGGTTTTGCAGGTCTTCGTTGATCAGTTTTAAAACTCTACAATAGAATACAATGCTGACAGAGCCTTGCCGTGGGTTTGTCACTCGTATCGAATGCTTTCTTGGCAGTCGCCCACACTCAGCTATCCATGCAAGGACGGACGTGCAATGCAAAGCAGAAGCTGTAGCTGCACTTCCGGACTTTGTCAAGCGATCTTCTCGCATGCTGATCCTTTGGGATGAGACTTACTTTGAGAGGTGGGCTGCAATCCACCGTTTTGGGCAGGGTAGAGCTTCGCAATGAACATGAACATGAACCTGAAACTTACTTTGAGAGGTTATGGTGTAATGTAGAAATTGTCGGGCGCTCAGTTGCGCAGAAGTCGACTTGGTCAAGCAATCCAGTCCAACTAACCCTGCCAAAAAGCTAACAGATGAGGCCGTGTTCCTCAAGAGCCATCCGGATCCAAACACAATTCGGATGATACCTCTTTGGCTTTCTCCTTGGCTGCTTTGCAGCCTTCTCCTAGAGTGGGTGTGTGCGCGCTACACCGTTCCGCTGATGTTCATGCTGCTTGCAGAGTGGTCCTTTGTGGCCGCAGCCCCGCCACAGTCACGACTCGACTGGGTTCTTCGCAATGTAATCTTCTGTCTCACTAGCACAGTTGCTCATCTCCCTTCAGCTCTGCTCGCGACGCTGTCCTTCACTCTGAAGCTTCGCCAGCACGGCCGATTGTTGGATCAGCTTCGAGACTTCGACGTTCGGGCTTCAAAGTGCACTGTGGAGAGCGATCGCCCTATGCTGGAGGCAGAGATAGCCAGCTTGCACAAGGAGCAGAAAATGTCCGTTGAAGACGTGCCTTTGCTCTTCAGATCCTCCGGCGTGGACGTGCATCAGGAGGAGTGCCTCGATCTCTTTAGCTCGTATGTTCGTAGGCAGCTGCACGATCAGATCGTGGAAGAATTGGGGAACCGAACGGAGTTGCCTTTTGGTCTCTGCATCCTGGTGTATATGCCTATGCACTTTTTCAACTTTGCGGAGTCATTTTTGGCATGTGAAGGATACGGTTGTGAAGGTGCACTGCAGTACTTCGGCTATCAGTCTGTCCAGCAGCTTTTTATCTTCGATGCGGTCATTTACTTTATCATGATGGTCACAACGCTCCCCATGACATTTCCGTGTCTGTTGAAGATGCTTGACTTCAGTCACCTGGTCCCAGGTGGTGCAGTCGTCCGGGCTTTCTTGGCGCTGGCAAGCGGTCTGTTTTCATATGCTTATGCCTTCTGTATGGGTGGTCTTGTCGGAGGTTGCCTCATTGGCTTAATGGTGAAAGGCCTCTCTGCGTGCTGGCTATCATTTTTTGTGGGTATCCTCGGATTCCTGCTTGTACAATGTCTGACAGTTTTCTGCGCAAAGTCGGCCTGGTCCAGCTGCAATGTTGGTAAACTGGCGGTCAGATGCCTTGGACGCACATCCTAAGGACGACACTTGTTGGTGTCCGGGTACTCGAAGAATAGTTGAAGCCCAAGCGTGGGTGTTATTTGCGATGTCTCCGGTATGCCGGAATGTACGGCAAAAGGGCGGACACCATGCATGCGGTTCCCAGTTAAGGGTCCTTCGCGAAGGTGGCCTTCGAGTTTTCGCTGGGCCCGGATGATCTAGTTCAGCCTGCTCTTCAATGTCTTGGACACGTCGCTCACGGTTCTGAAATTTGTCGTCACTCATGGGGTGTTTGAATGTCAGCCCTGCGCCCCGTAAGACATACCCCCTTAGACAACCTAACGATAGCATCAGCCATCACTCAGTTTCAACGGCCCTTGTGTTCTGTAGGACTTCTGAGCCCTAGCCTTGCCAAACTGTTTTGACCCTCTACCTCTACGGGCCCTTAACGAAATCTTGATGAACCCGAAAGCAAACCTGCAATCAATCGCGGCCCCAATGTCGGCTGAGTGAAACGAGCTCGGCCAACAAGAGTTGTCGCTCGAACAACTGTCTCAACAGAGTTCCTCCACCCTCACACCCGCATGGCCCTAGACGAAGTCCTTTAAGTTCTCTGCTCTGCTGCAGTCCTGACCACATCCCCGCCGAGCGCCGTTGGACGCTTCGCACAGCCGTTCCTAGGCTTAGCTTAACGCATACAGGCACGTATAGATACATGCATACATACGTACATGCATGCATGTACATACATGGAGACATACACACATACATCCATCCATACATCCATCCATCCATCCATCCATCCATACATACATCCA